ATTAATTAATTTATTTAATCAGGACAATGCACATTAATGAGCAATCTTTTACTTGTGTAAAGTGTGTAAATAAGACAGATTGTAGCATAGTTGCTAATTTACATCTGTAGTTCTGAGGCAGGAAAACAAAACACAAGCTCACAAATACAATATCAAGCAAAACACAAACACATTCAGACAAATGACATTACAACAATAAAATAAAGTATTAACATTACACATAGATCAGTAATGACACATAATCATGGAAAAAATATTTATTATTCTTTAATTATGTATTCTTAAAGTTGATTAAAATTGTCCCTTTTCTGTTTCCATTATTCATTGCATGTCCATCTGTTTTGCCGACTTTTATCACCCTACATTCCATAAAAAATAAAATACGGCATGTTTTATTTTGTTTGTTTTGTCTTTTCAGTCAAATTTTTATTCATTTATTTTTCGTCCCGCAGATTCTTTCTCCTCTCCTGGATCTCAATCAGAATCGCAATAAACTGAAGCTGTACATAAGTCACCTGACGTCACTGTGTCAGGAGCGAGACCCAATCATACTTCAGGACTTTGCCCCGCCCCCTGCCTATCACCGCTCTGACTCCGCCTCCTGGAATACAGAGCTGCAAAGCATGACGCAGGAACAGGTATTTAGGACATTTTGTTATCCCGTTTTTAAAACTAGTCTCAATGTGTGTGTGTGTGTTGATAAATGTGTGTCTCTTTAATTGTGTGTAGGAGTTCAGGGCCTGGCAGGTTCTCGACGCTGTCTGTGACATTATTGAAAAGATTTACTCCAGCAGGTCACCTGTCGACAAACGCCTGTCTGCAGACATTTTATTTTATTTTAAAGCACKGGGAGCGAACCTCGCCTCAAGCTGAACACAGCAATAAGACGGCACAAGTGTTTTTATTTTATTGTCAAAGCCATTGTTGTGTTAGAGAGCGAGGAGAAGGGAAATGAAAATGTAGAAAGACAAGTTGGGGCTTAGGGAATGCCTATATGTTGCTGCTTTATCTTAGTAACCACTTGTGTTTTCAGTCTCCTAATATAAACAGCGTATTATTCAATTTTAAAAATTGGGCCTGTCCAAGGCTTCCTCCGTCTCTTTTCTCCATATTGAAAACATATCAAGCAAAACACGTCTCTACATGTGGTATGCATTGAAGACTGAAACCGTAGACACTCTCGCAGCTCTGTGACAGAGTGTGTGGTTTGGGTACTAGTTTCCTCCAGCCTTACTGTAACGTCTTAATGCGGAGAAATATCTGTTTAGCACGAATGCCTCAGATACGGCGTTGCGTGACGTGCCACTCGAAATGAATGTCGAAAACAGAAAATTAAGCTGTCATTTAATCACGGCGCACATTAAATGATCTGCGTGGCTTCTTCGAGCAGAAAATCATGACTCGTATTTTTCATCATCGGTCCGTTTTCTTCAAGAAAAAAAAATCCACTTTCTTCTGTGGTTTAGAGGCTAGTTTTCAAAAGAAAAACATGCTCTATTAAAACTGATTAAATGGGCATAACTGTCTGAATTCAAGTTGCAGGATTTAATTCCTGTTTTATTTTTTGTTAAAGGATTACATGCAAGTGAAGTTTACATTTGAGATGGAAAAACAGCTCAACAAATCACTCCGACTGGGATTTTTTTTTTTAGAATTAGATTTGTTTTCATGTTTTTATACTAATTAAATTTATTTCAGTGCTAAAAAATTTAAAAAATATTGGATTATAGAAGGATTTTACTGTTTGTGTTAGAGTTGTTTTCTTCTGTTTTAGTTGTAAATTACCAGGACATTCACACCTGATGAAAACACCAGAATCTATAATATGAAAGCTGGTGTTAAAAAAATTAAGCATGCAATGGAAGGAAGGCCATTTAAAACCTAAAATCAGAAAATAAACCGATTTATTACAACTAAGAATTTGAACACAYGTTTAAACTTTGTTGCTTATTTTGCCAAACCCTCAGTCAGATAAGTACAATTAAATTTTTACTGCTTCCTAGTGTTGTTTTTCTCTAAATAATGACACAAAAATCACTATAGTCATACCTCATAGAAATTTAATCTTATTTTTGCGAAAATTACTGTAACTCACATATTTCCTGCTGTATTACCCAAAGTATTATTCAAGTCCTTGCGCTTAAGTTCTAAAATTTGCATTTTGTCAATGTGGAAACATGTCCTAAGTCAGCTTTACACATAAAAACATTTTCTAGCTCATTTGATTGACGAAAACATGGTCAAAGTTTTGAATACGTTTCGAATCACCCATTAAAATTAGTGCTTTTATATTTGTTTTTTGTCTTAAAGTAGACGTGTCATGCTTTTAAATCCTTTTTTTCACATATAAATCCTGCAATACTTTGTTCTGAATTCCTCCTTAGTGTAACTCCAGAAGCCCCTCTTTCACCCCCTTTTCTGAGGTTGTCTCAGGGCAACTCRTTTTGAGGCTGTCTCTTTAAATCCAAATGAGTCATTTCAGGCCCCACCCCCCTCCAGCTTCCAGAGGGGTTCATAGAGGGGATTATGACTACAGCAGGTAAAATAAGTATTGAACACGTCAACATTTTTCTCAGTAAATATTTTACTAGAGGTGCTAATGACATGAAATTTTCACCAGATGTTGGTAACAACCCAAGTGATCCATACATACAAAGAAATCAAACCATAAATGTCCAGAAATGAAGTTATTTGTAATAATGTGGAATGGCACAGGGAAGAAGTATTGAACACACTTACTGAAATTTATCTAATACTTTGTACAAAAGCCTTTGTTGTCAATGACAGCTTCAAGACGCCTCCTGTATGGAGAAACTAGTGGCATGCATTGCTCAGGTGTGATTTTGGCCCATTCTTCCACAAACAGTCTTCAAATCTTGAAGGTTTCGTGGACCTCTTCTATGAACTCTGATCTTTAGTTCTTTCCATAGATTTTCTGTTGGATTCAGGTCAGGTGATTGGCTGGGCCATTCCAGCAGCTTTAGTTTCTTTCTCTGAAACCAACTGAGAGTTTCCTTGACATTGTGTTTGGGCTCATTGTCTTGCTGAAATGTCCAGCCACGTTTCATCTTCTTCATCCTGGTAGATGGAAGCAGATTTTTATCAAGAATGTCTCTGTACATTTTTCCACTCATCCTTCCTTCAATTATTTGAAGTTTGCCAGTACCATATGCTGAAAAACAGCCCCACACCATGATGTTCCCACCTCCAAACTTCACTGTTGGTATGGTGTTTTTGGGCTGATGTGCAGTGCCATTTGACCTCCAAACATGATGTGTATTCTGGCATCCAAACAGTTCARTGTTGGTCTCATCTGACCAGACTATATTCTCCCAGTATTACACAGGCTTGTTTAAACGTTGTGCAGCAAACTTTAAAGGAGCTTCAACATGCTGTTTCTTCAGCAGTGGAGTCTTGCGTGGTGAGCGTGCATACAGGCCATGGTGGTTCAGTGCATTACTTATTGTTTTCTTTGAAACAATCGTACCTGCTAATTCCAGGTCTTTCTGAAGCTCTCYACAAGTGGTCCTTGGCTCTTGGACAACTCTTCTGATAATTCTTTTCACTCCTCTGTCAGAAATCTTGTGAGGAGCACCTGGTCGTGGTCAGTTTATGGTGAAATAATATTCTTTCCACTTCTGAATTATGGCCACAACAGTGCTCACTGGAACCTTCAGAAGTTTAGACATTCTTCTGTAACCGATGCCATCATTATGCTTTGCAACAATAAGGTTGTGAAGGTCTTGAGAGAGCTCTTTACTTTTACCCATCATCAGATGGTTCTTGTGTGATACCTGGCCATCATTTGGGACTGAACCAGCTGATATTAACTTGCACTGACAAGGGGCAGRCTTGCTTTCTAATTACTGAGAGAGTTCAGCTGGTGTCTTGTCTTTCCATGCCTTTTTACACCTCCCTTTCTTCATGTGTTCAATACTTTTTCCCTGTGCCATTCCACATTATTACAAATAACTTCATTTCTGGACATTTATGGTTTGATTTCTTTGTATGTATGGATCACTTGGGTTGTTACCGACATCTGATGAAAATTTCATGTCATTAGCACCTCTAGTAATATATTTACTGAGAAAAATGTTGGCGTGTTCAATACTTATTTTACCCGCTGTATATAGCTGTGCAGAAACTTTTTATTTACAAATTGATTAAAAGACGTCAACAACTAGACTTGTCTTTCCAGCCTTACATGTTGGAGCCAGAGTCTGATCAGAGCCAGAGCAGGGTGAAGACCACCAAATTGTAGTTGGTAAATCACTAAATTTGGTGACGTGATAGTTTAGAAAACATCATAGAAAACAGAGAAAACTGAACAGAGTGGATCTTTGACTCTTAAATCCAGAAATGCACATGTAGGGTTAAATATTGTTTCTAAATCAACCCTACATGTCTGTCTTGTATCTCTTTGTGGTCTGAGCTGTTCCTCACCTCACCCATTGACTCCTCCTAACCTTGAGCAGTATTTTTTTGTTTTTGTTGTGGACTAAATAGGTCAACTTATGATTTGAACTAATCTCATTGAAGGTTTTACCAAGAAGGAGGTCTCATCAGAAACAACTGGCTTTCAAGTTTAATAAAACAAATCTGAATAATCGGGCTCACATCTCTGATTGACTCAACCTGTTGCTGCTCTCTTACATCGTCTGGCCCAACGTGTAGCTGCATAGATGGTTTTCCCTCATGGTGGGAAAGAAGACCCTATGAAATCAGCTTTATGAACCTCAGTCTCCTTCTGTTCCTGCTGCATACACAAAAAGAGAAATTGGCTCCAACAGTTACAAGAGCTATAAAAATAAAAAGTCCCTGTGGTTCAAAAGCATCTATAGTAATGTAGTATTAACCAGTGGTAGATTGGATCAGCTGAAAGAGCTTTGGTTTTTAAGTAAAGTCTGCTTWACTTTCCTCGTGTTTTTTTGTCATCTTCATCACTTATTTTCCTTTTTGGTCATTTAATCTCTCAGCTGGGCCTTTTTTTTACGGTTCCCCCCCAAAAAAACACATATTTTTTGTGTGTATTTTTCCTTTTAAAGGGTCTCCCTCAACKTTATATTTTAATCATAACATCTCACTTTGCTCCACGTCTGAACTGGTGTTTGAGCTGCTGAGGTTTTTCACCGACCATGTTTTTTAGGTGGGATGTTTCCCCTAACAACATCACAATTTGAATTATTCTGCTTCTGCTTCTTTCTCTGTCCAAACCCACCCGGAACCAGGCAATGCCACTTGGCGCCGTTTGTGTGTGTGTGTTTTAAAGACCCGCCTACACACAATCGCAAAGACACAAAGTCTTTCATTCAGGCCCGTGTTTCTCATTTTCCTTCATCAAGCGTCGCCATCGCCCTGACTGACCCTGTTAATACACTCAGCCTCCATCCAGACCACCATGGCTCAGTGTGCCAGCTTCTCCTCTGTTTTGTGGTGAGTGTGTGTGTGTRTTTTACAAGCCTCTCTGGCTCTGATGAAATGCCTGGCACTCTGTAAAGTCATTAGGATTGTCCTAAAATAGCATGTAAAACAGGCTGATGCAAAGTCTGAAACAGAAAACTGCACATCTTAAAATCCCTYGAGCCTCAACAAGCACCTTTACCTTAAAAGATGGTTTGATAGTATTATCCTGTAACTA